ACATAGAAACAGGTATATGGGAGACGAAGCAAGTGTAAGAAAATCCAGGCAGTTATTAACTCTAGGAAAAGTTCGTAGTTATACACGAAGGGAATAAAAGAAGATAATGATGGCTAATATTTATTAGGTGTTTACTGTCTTCAGGTTTTTATTTTATTATATTATTGTTGTACTAGGGGTACATTGTGACATTCACAAAAGTTCTTATAATCATAGTTGAATTCACCCCCTCAATAATTATTCTTTGTTCCCCTCCATTCCTGGAATTCTTTCAACAGGTCTCATTTTTCTATTTTCATACATGAATACATAATTTTTCTACCACATTCACCTCCTTCACCCTTTCCTTATATTCCCCACACACACTGGTGCCAACCCCAGACAGGACCTGTTTTACCTTCCTGTTCTCCATTTTTTAAAAAGAAGGTATTTTTGTTTGTTTAAGATAGCTTTATAGGGAATTTCATTGTGACATTTCCATGTATATATGTATTATCACCTGAATTGGTTCATTCCCTGTATTTTTCTCCTTTCTGCCTTGGTCCCCTTCTTATGGTGATTTCAACAGGTTTAAAAATTCTGTATTCATTCTTGTATAGAAAGTACATCAACTATATTCACCTTCTTAACTTCCTTCTTTTACCCTCCCTCTCCTGTTAGTGATCTCCCCTTAGCAAAACGTATTTTTTTATAGTATTGCTTATATTTGTATTGTGTCTGTCTCCCACATATGAGAGAAAACATGTGGGCTTTGTCTTTCTAGGCCTGGCTTACTTCACTTAACATGATGTCCTACAATTGCATCCATTTATCTTCAAACCACGTAGTTTCATTCTTCCTGTGGCTAAATAAAATTCCATTGTGTGTGTGTGTTTCACATTTTCTTTCTTTTTTTTTTTTAAAGATAGATGAAAAGCTTTATTTAGAAAGCAGAGAAGTAAGCACACTTATAGAGATATGTTCATTGTGTCCTGGGGCTGTACATAGCATGGTGGGGGGAAGGGAGAAGCTGGGAAACACTTCCAACAAAAGAGTGGGTGCTCTTAAACAAGCACATCTCTGGGTGAAGGTTGGCTCCCTGTGGTCCCTGGCCCTTGAGCTCACCTGCAGCTACAATTTTTTTTTTATTTTATTATTCGTATGTGCATACAAGGCTTGGGTCATTTCAACCCCCTGCCCCAACCCCTTCCCTTACCACCCACTCTGCCCCCTCCCTCTCCTCCCACCCCCTCAATACCTGGCAGAAACTATTTTGCCCTTATTTCTAATTTTGTTGTAGAGAGAGTATAAGCAATAATAGGAAGGAACAAGGGTTTTGCTGGTTGAGATAAGGATAGCTATACAGGGCATTGACTCACATTGATTTCCTGTGCGTGTGTGTTACCTTCTAGGTTAATTCTTTTTGATCTAACCTTTTCTCTAGTTCCTGGTTCCCTTTTCCTATTGACCTCAGTTGCTTTTAAGGTATTTTCTTTAGTTTCTCTGTGTTAAGGGCAACAAATGCTAGCTAATTTCTTAGGTGTTTTACCTATCCTCACCCCTCCCTTGTGTGCTCTCACTTTTGTCATGTGCTCAAAGTCCAATCCAATCCCATTGTTGTGTTTGCCCTTAATCTAATGTCCACATATGAGGGACAACATACGATTTCTGGTCTTTTGGGCCAGGCTAACCTCACTCAGAATGATGTTCTCCAATTCCATCCATTTACTTAGCGAATGATAACATTTCGTTCTTCTTCATGGCTGCATAAAATTCCATTGTGTATAGATACCACATTTTCTTAATCCATTCGTCAGTGGTAGGGCATCTTGGCTGTTTCCATAACTTGGCTATTGTGAATAGTGCCGCAATAAACATGGGTGTGCAGGTGCCTCTGGAGTAACCTGTGTCACAGTCTTTTGGGTATATCCCCAAGAGTGGTATTACTGGATCAAAAGGTAGATCAATGTTTAGCTTTTTAAGTAGCCTCCAAATTTTTTTCCAGAGTGGTTGGACTAGTTTACATTCCCACCAAGAGTGTAAGAGGGTTCCTTTTTCCCCACATCCTCGCCAACACCTGTTGTTGGTGGTGTTGCTGATGATGGCTATTCTAACAGGGGTGAGGTGGAATCTTAGCGTGGTTTTAATTTGCAATTCCTTTATTGCTAGAGATGGTGAGCATTTTTTCATGTGTTGTTTGGCCATTTGAATTTCTTCTTTTGAGAAAGTTCTGTTTAGTTCACTTGCCCATTTCTTTATTGGTTCAATAGTTTTGGGAGAATTTAGTTTTTTAAGTTCCCTATATATTCTGGTTATCAGTCCTTTGTCTGAGGTGTAGCTGGCAAATATTTTCTCCCACTCTGTGGGTGTTCTCTTCAGTTTAGAGACCATTTCTTTTGATGAACAGAAGCTTTTTAGTTTTATGAGGTCCCATTTATCTATGCTATCTCTTAGTTGCTGTGCTGCTGGGGTTTTGTTGAGAAAGTTCTTACCTATACCTACTAACTCCAGAGTATTTCCTACTCTTTCTTGTATCAACTTTAGAGTTTGTGGTCTGATATTAAGATCCTTGATCCATTTTGAGTTAATCTTGGTATAGGGTGATATACATGGATCTAGTTTCAGTTTTTTGCAGACTGCTAACCAGTTTTCCCAGCAGTTTTTGTTGAAGAGGCTGCTGTTTCTCCATTGTATATTTTTAGCTCCTTTGTCAAAGACAAGTTGGTTATAGTTGTGTGGCTTCATATCTGGGTCCTCTATTCTGTTCCACTGGTCTTCATGTCTGTTTTTGTGCCAGTACCATGCTGTTTTTATTGTTATTGCTTTGTAATATAGTTTGAAGTCAGGTATTGTGATACCTCCTGCATTATTCTTTTGACTGAGTATTGCCTTGGCTATTCGTGGCATCTTGTGTTTCCATATAAATTTCACAGTAGATTTTTCAGTCTCTTTAATGAATGTCATTGGAATTTTAATGGGAATTGCATTAAACATGTAGATTACTTTTGGGAGTATCGACATTTTTACTATGTTGATTCTACCAATCCATGAGCATGGGAGATCTCTCCACTTTCTATAATCTTCCTCAATCTCTTTCTTCAGAAGTTTATAGTTTTCCTTGTAGAGGTCATTCACATCTTTTGTTAGGTTTACACCAGGTATTTGATTTTTTTTGAGGCTATTGTAAATGGAATTGTTTTCATACATTCTTTTTCAGTTTGCTCATTGTTAGTGTATAGAAATGCTAATGATTTTTCTATGTTGATTTTATATCCTGCTACCTTGCTATAGTATTGATGATGTCTAGAAGTTTCTGAGTCACTTAACATGATGTCCTCCAATTGCATCCATTTATCTTCAAACCACGTAGTTTCATTCTTCCTATGGCTAAATAAAATTCCATTGTGTGTGTGTGTTTCACATTTTCTTAATCCATTCATCAGTTGTGGGGCATCTGGGTTGTTTCCATAGCTTGGCTATTGTTTGAATACTTTAATTTTTTTTAAAAATCTGAGATAAATACCATAAAATTTCCATTTAACAGATGATTTTACCAAAAATATTGTGGTGGGTAAATGGCATGGGAAATGACATCCAAATATCTTTTCTAGTAGGAAAACTAAATGAGGTGAAGCTAATGTCTATATTATACAGTATCTATAATTTAATAGTCAAGGCAAAGTAGTATAAGCCTACAGTTTAGAAGTGTGAATACTAGTAGAAACAACTTAAAATAACTTAAAAAGTTGAAACCCCTTGGCATGACCAGATCAAGTATGGGGTATGACATTGCACTTGTGCTATTATACTTTTCTGTGTTGATAGAAATGTTAAGTACCTGATGTAAGAGAAACTGTCAAGAAAGATAAAAAGAAAATAATAAAGATGTTTGGGTTATTCATGTGTAAGAGTTATGTATGCCAGATTTTTGTATAGTATATCGTTTGTACCTTATTTTCATATAGTATCTTATTTTTGTTTATATAGATGGTTATATAAAATACCACATATGAATCTTTACACAGAAAGGGAGTTAAGACCAAATTTCCAGGCCTGGTTTGTCCTAAACTTTATTGGTTAAATTGCTTAATCTTTGGGACCTCTACTAAAGTCTTTTAATTTTAATGATGATGTTGAACTAGTCATCTCTTTTCTAAAGCTGCATTGTGTTAAGTGTTGAACTAATTTTTGCTTGTTAGTGATAGGGTTGAGTTTAAAAATATAGACTTCAAAGCTAGTTGTGGATGTAGCCTGGCTGTTCACTTATAATATTGGTTAGTAGTCACTTAGTTACATAATTTTCTCAGTACTAGTTTATGTAAGCAATCATATAACTTAGGCCATTTTCATCCAGTAGGTTTTTTTTTAAACCCCGTTAAAATATTGTTAAAGTAAATACTGTAAATATTTATTCACCTATGTGAGTCAAATGAGTATTTTTCCTGCCCACCTGCATGCCAGCCCAGCCCTAGGCCTTGAGGTACCCCACCCAACTAAAATGAGTATTTTTAAGGTATAATATAGAGAGAAGTTTCTAAATTCTAAATGTGCATACAGCTCGGTGAAACTTTATAGTGAGCACTCTGGGTACATCTCCTGGATCTCAGACTGAAGCCCTTATCCTACTCAGCCCTTGCTGTTGCTGCCCTCCAAGCACAGCTATCGTCCTTCATTCTAGCCTCATATGGTGTTATTGAACTGTGTCAGTGACCCTTCACAGTCGTGTAAAACCATGCACAGACACATGTGTACATTCACATATCTCTTGTAAGTAAGTAATATATAAATACATGTACATACATAGCCATACACATTGATAGATTTTGTTTCCAGTTGGTTTTCTTTTTGGGGAATGCAAATTTGGTTTCTAGCATCCCAACATGGTACATTTAAGTTTCCTGAGCTTTCTTACCGTTAAGATAATGACTACGTAAAAAGCATATGCTTTTAATGTCCACTTACTGCTTCTCAATGCTTGGTCATAAAAGCATAGTCATCTAATATGCAAACTTGCATTGTAGGTCCAGTGGCATTGCAGAGCACGGATGGTTGCAGGAGCCAACTTTTACATTGTTGGACGGGATCCCGCTGGCATGCCTCATCCAGAAACAGGGAAGGATCTCTATGAGCCAACCCACGGCGCCAAAGTGCTGACGATGGCCCCTGGCCTAATCACTTTGGAAATAGTTCCTTTTCGAGTTGCAGCTTACAACAAGAAGAAGAAGAGTATGGACTACTACGACTCTGAACAGTAAGGTTTTCGTTCTTGGCACAGATCTGCGAGACACTTTGTGGTTTGACATGCTCCTAGGGCTTTAGCATGTTGTCTTGTCTGATGGCAGCTTTCATATACTTATTTCAGAGAAAGCAGATGAAGGAAACTAAGTTCCCATTATTCTGGAAGCTAGATGTAGAAATGAAAATTGAGCCTAGTTTTAAGGTTTCAGTAATTTTGTTTCATGGTCTTCAAGTACAGTATTGGCATTTCTATGCCTACCATGTTTGCTACCAACTTTCAGTACAAATTATTGGCAGTATTGAGCATATATCTATCTCCCTTTGACTAATTGTGTTAATTTATATCTATATGTAATATTGTAAGTAAACACTGTGTAAGTTTAAAGTGAAGGGTGAAGCTATGGAATCAGAAGTTACTGGTTCTAGCCCTGTCTTTGCCATATGCAAGAGTCTTTTCTGCCCTTGTTTCTTCCTCTTTGGAATGATGGTGTGGATGAGGCAATTTCCTTTTAGTTCAGAATCTGCAGTTTTTTTGTTCCTGTTGTTGTTACTGATTTTGAGATGAGCTCTTGGTACGTAGCCCCGGCTGGACTCAAACTTGTGATTCCCAGCCTCAGTCTCCTGAATAGCTGTGATTACAGGTGTATGCTGCCACATCTAGTCATAGTTCTTTCCACAGTCTGTAGTACCTAGTTATTTTTTTACGTAATTTATGTATGTGAGCTGTGTACACATATGATTGACCCTTTTTGTTGATTGACTCTTTAAGTGTGCCTTCTTTTTTTCATACAAATTACAATTCACATTTAGCATATAAAAGAGATAACTCAGCATATAAAACTTTTTAATTTGCATTTTATCAGTTTTAACTACATTGACAGGTCCTAGCTGAGATTCAACTATGGCCTAGAAACCTTTAGTCTGAGAGCTCTTGTTTCCCCTGCTCCTTTGTATTTGCTCCACATTTAGAAATAATGCTGACCCTGACACTGGGCATTCGTTTGGTGTGGCCCATTTTATCACAGTGAGGGAAGAAAGGGAAAGCAACCTTTTAAAAATAAAACACCATTCTCTTGTTAAGGGGCATAAAATTTATTTTCATTTAATTTTTTTGAGGTAAATAGTTGTCTGTATAAAGAAATATTCTTATTGCCACTGGAGTTTGGAGGACTTGTTGGTTTCTCATTTAGTGACATAGTAATTCCAGAGACAGGGGACACTTTTAGAAAGTAGCAGGCTTTTCTGAGTGATGAACTGTAGCAAAAATACAAGAAAGTCTGTTCATATCTAGCACAGGCAAGTGCAAAAGAACTCTGCATTGTTCCCTATGGCCTAGGTGTGGGTTTAAAAAAGAGCTGGTCTAATCTTGTTTGCTGAAGATCTCAAAGGTGACACACATTCCAGTATATGTCTGAGCCACACCAGAAAAGTTTCCAACTAATCAGAACATTTTCATCCATATATGAAATTAGGGTTGCCGATATCTACTGGTAGTTCTAGGTAATGTGGGGCTGTTTCACCTTTAAAGATGCACCTGCATATGTTCATGCAGTTATTCTGCACATATAACGTGTGATTTCACCATCTAAAAATGTAGCTGTAAAAGTGGTATGTCAAGAGTTCTAAATTAACTTTCCTACCAAGGCTTAGAAGCTTTTAAAACAAGAGTTTTAAGGAAAATGTTAGCAATTATAGTAAACTTTGATATATTACAAGGTGATAGAAACCTTAAAATATAAATTATTAAAGAAAGTAAAAATGTTTTGGAGGCTGGAGGTGTGGCTCAGACATTAGAGCGCCTGCCTAGTCAGTGCTTTGAGTTCAAACCCAGTACCACCAAAAAAAGAAATTGAAAATGTCACAATGAACCCCTGTACAACTATTATATGCTAATAAAAACGTTGAAAAATGTTTTGGGTGCAGTCCTGCGCTCTTATGGTTAACTTTATATAGACCACCATCAAGAGTCTTAATTTACATAGTCTGGGAAGAGGCCCACCCACCAAGGGCCCTTCCCCGCAGGGAGGGTAGCAGTACCTTCTGCAGATCTATAGAGCATAGTGTCTGGCATGGTGTACCTTTTGTTTCTTACCAGCATGTGCTTTATTTGTGTGGTTTGTGTACAAGACATTAGGGACATGATCTTGTTCTGAGAATGGTGATTAACCACATTAAGTCAGTTACACAGTGGTAAGGAAGTATGAGGAGAGAAGTAGGATCATCCTGCCAGTGGCTAGATTAGGTGAGTTTCCATTTTGTTATGTTTAGAACACAGAGCAAAACTGAAAAGGGAGGTGGGTGCCTGTGGCTCATGCCTGTAATCCTAGCTACTCAGGAGGCAGAGATCAGGAGGATTGTGAAGTCATCCCAGACAAATAGTTCTGTGAGACCCTATCTCAAAACACCCTTCACAAAAAAAGGGCTGGTGGAGTGGCTCAAGGTAAAGGCCTTGAATTCAAGCCCCAGTTCTGAAAAGAAAAAAAAAAAGCTGAAAAGGAGTGGGGCTTTCCTCTTACACTTCTTGTACCGATATGTTTCATTACTGTAGTCCCTTTGCATGGTCAGCAGGCTTAATCACACACAGAACCCTAGAACCATCTGTATGTAGTTGACTGATGTGCTGGTAAGCCCTTGATAACTTTGATGTTTGGTTAAATCTGTGCAATATTGCTTTAAGTCTGTCTTTTAATCATTTAAAAGCTAAATAATTACATCAGTTCTCATAAGATTTTCCAAAGATGAATTCTATATTAGTTGCATGAGTGGCTCATTTCCTTGGAATTTTTTTGGGTTACCAAATCTTAATAAGTTGTAACTTGGGAAGCTTTAAAACTGCCTGTTTTCTAACTTTTTGTATTTGTGTTCAAATATAATTAAGTTGATGGGAATATGTTGGAAAATGATTAAAATTTTGTGGAAAGGCGATAGTCTTTGATGTAGTGAGAAAACAGTTATTAATTATGCACATATGAGGTTGTCTTTGTTTGATTAATGGATGTTACTCAAAGCCAGCTTTCATTTAATTGATGATTTTCTAGTTTTTGATTTGATTAAATACCAGTGTAAAACAAGACTTAGAGGGAAATATTTCATGAAGATTTCAGGCAAGATATTACTGATAAGGAATTATGATAAAAATCTTCTGTTTACATTTAGGAAGTTGAGGTTCATATTAGCTACAATAGGGACTCAAGAAAAAATTTTAGTTTTAGTGCTACAAGCCCATTCTTGCAGGCATTGCAAACTTTTAGAAATAATCTGACTTTTTAAACTTTTATTATTTTTCTTTTAGAAAGAAATCTTTGGGGAGATAAATGTAAATTTATTTAGATTATTGAAACAGCAAAATCAGAAAGACAGAGTACACATGAGTGAAAGTGCCTTGTGGAGTTGGATAAAAGAAGGGATTGATGGATTAAATGTCATCTGGTATCTTGACTTTTTTTTTTTTTTTTGGTGGGGTTTGAACTCAGGGGCTCATGCTTGCTTGGCAGGTGCTCTACCACATGAGCCACTCCACCAGGCCTTTTTTGGTTTATTTTTAACATAGGGTCTCATGAACTATTTGCCCGGGCTGGCTTCGAACCATGAGCCTCCTGATCTCTGCCTCCCAAGTAGCTAGAATTACATGCATGAGCCACTGGAGCACAGCTCCATTTATTCAATCGAGTATTTCTTTCCTATTTTTAATGGTAGAGTCTATGTACATCATGCAGTATTGGTATCATTTGGTAACACTAATTGTATACAACCTGCAAGACTTTTTCAGATGTTCTTCCTTTCTTTGATTGTATGCTTTTCACACATGAGCTCCTCTATTACCATAGTTTCTGTGCTTCAGCTCTTAAACATATATGTCAGCATTTCCCAGCTGCGAATTCTTTAGGTCAGAAGACTAGGTGGGCTTGCTTGTGTTCTCTGGCCAGCCTGAGCTCCTCTACGATGACTCTGGAAAGTCATTTTCCACGTTGATCCTTGTGATTAGCAGATTCCAGAGATTCAGTTCCTTATAGTTGTATGACTGAGATCCCCTCTTCTTACTGGCCATTGGCTGAGGGTTGCTCCCTACTTCTATAGGTCACTTTAGTCCTGCATCTCAGCAATAGAACCTCCTTTGTGTAGAATCCTTCTCATCCTCAGATTTCTCCGACTTTCCTTTTGCTCCTAGCTGAGAAAATTCTTTGCTTTTAGAGGGCTCAAATGATTTCAGTTCACCCAGATAATTTTACTATTTTAAGGTCAACTGATTAATAACTGAAATTGCATCTGCAAAATCCCTTTTGTGGCTCAACAACGTATCATGGTAGTAGCACCAGGGGGTGAAAGGCATCGTGGCCATCTTTAAATTTTGCCTACCACACTAGTGGACATTCTGCTTAGATTTCTTTTCTTTTTGCGGTGCTGGGATTTGAACTCAGGCCCTTCACCTTGAGCCTCCACCAGCCCTTTTCGTGTTGGATTTTTTTGAGATAGGGTCTCGCAAACTGTTTGCTCTGGCTGGGTTCGAACCATGATCCTTCTAATCTCTGCCTCCTGAGTAGCTAGAATTGTAGGCATGAGCCACTGGCACACAGCTGCTTAGATTTCTTGATGTTAGACTTACATTCCCAACCAATGTTACCTTTACTCTTACAATATCTACAAATCCTAAATTTCTTTAGTTAGTTGTTTTTCCCATTATGTAAAACCTTCAGGTCCTTTATACTTTCATCTGTCTTCACCTCCAAGTCTTGTGTTGAGTTTTTAGCATTCCCTTTCTTGCCACATAGTCTCTGCAATATACACATCTTTCTGTTAAGGCATTGGGGAACTGTCTTTTCCATTAATAAAGCATAAAGTACTTCATTAATTCTAATATTTCTTAGGAAGTACAATTGTAACTGCATGAATGTACTGATGGTATTATCTTGTATTTTTGTAGATTTTACACATATTTTATTATGGGGAGTTATTTTGTGATCATTAAAAGAGACACAATATAAAATCTATTGTAATATCTTTTTTCTTTTAGCA